AGATGTTCATAATTTACATGAAGCATGATTATAATATCTACGTGTTAGAGGATTTCATCATGAGCTGATATCAGTCAGAGAAGCACTGGAAAACCTGCCGTTTCGTCCTAGTTTGGAACTCTTGAGCAGCAACTGCCTGATGTCAGCTCAAGATGAAATCCTCCAACCAGTCAAACAAAATCTTCACAAAGGCAATATTTGAAAATTAATCTGATGGCCACCAGTGACTGACCCTATTCAGACAGTTAGCCTGAGGTTCTAGTGAGAAGCCGTGGCCAGTAGGGTACAGCAAGTTGAAGGTGAGGCAGTAACTCATCGAGCGAGACATTGCGAAGTGCTCGTGCTATGTCATGAATAGGCAGAGGTTGGAATCCACGGGCCACTGAATCAGGTCCCAGTGACTTGATGCTCTGCGAGCCGCCTCATCTCGTAACTAAAATGTCCTGGGCTCGAATCCTGGTGGTGTGTACGTACTGTGAGGAGTCCCAAACTAGGACGAAACAGAGGTACAGCTCTCCCACGTTTTCCACTGGCTCTCTAGCTGATTTCAGTTCATGATGGAATCCTCCAACCAATTAAACAAAATCCCTATAATACCAATCCTTGAAAATCTACGTGTTTTCTTGTGTATGACATTTGTCTTTAGTTGAAGTTAACATCGGATTATGCTGTATAACTAAAACCAAAATACTAATTAATGTCTTGTTAGAGGAAAAAGTTAAGAACAAAACAATGAAAGAAATATCGAATAACAGTTAATTTTATAATCAGAACAGTGACTTATGATTTAATTTATTGCGTATTTAAAATGACTGTCAAAGAATCTTGTTCTATACACATGTTTATCAGTTTCATTTTCATGCTACTGTAAAAGGTGTAGTGACAATGTAGTAAAAAAAGGAAACACTAATCAGTTGAAATGAAATGAATATGTCCAATTCTTAAATTCAGTTGTTCTTAATTAATCATTCAATTAGTGTGAATCAATAAGTACATTTCCATCTTTAATCTGTGCCATAAATCTCCTCTACTAAATTACATTTTAGTAATATTTTTGCGAAGAATACTACAAACTTCCTGATGCTTGCAGATAAAAATCTACATAGCTCAACATCTGAAGTAAGTTAAGTAACCTTAGTTTGAATAATCAGCAACTAGCTGAAAGACTTGAAGATATAAACAGACAACTAAATAATTACGTCCAAATGTGATATGGAACCAATTATTTTCAAGCTTATTTTGCTGGGATCTACCTGATTTCAGTTAAGATCACTTAACAACATCAGTTAGAGAATTACTGCAAACCAGGGAGTACTGGTCTGGGGCTCTTCAGAAGAGCCATAAGTAGGATTTTGTGTACACTTCTGGCTGTCATTTTACAGAAGTGATTAGTGAGTATCCCACTAAACCATTTCTCATTCGGACATTTTTTTCCCATTCTCATAAAAGTTAGTTTTGTTCATTTTCTTATCTAGTTTATTCCATATTTGTAAATACCACACTGTTCCCGACTGAATGCATCACTCAGCTGACCTAGTGTTACCTTATGACATCTTTTTGAGCCTTATAAATGCAACCTGTCTATGTAGGTTGTCCTCATAAAAATAGTAAAAAGTTGTAGTTCAAATAAGGGCTTTTGTTGGGATTAGGATTAATGTTATTGTAGACTAAGTCCCGAAACAAAATCCACTAGAGAATCACTGAAACCCATAAGGCCTTAAATTCCCACCCAGTGACTGAATAGCAATGGAGGTGGACTCCTAACCTCAAAGCCCGGTGTTCGATTTTTGATGAGGTAATGAGTGCGCACTGCTAATAAGGATGAAATAGCTCTCTAGTGCTTCCTGGTATCAGTAATTCTCTAGATGATGCCGATTTGTGATGAAATCTGTATCGGAAAAGCTGTAAATCTAGGTAATTTATCTCAATATGCTTATGGGCTTTACTGACCCCCGCTTAATCAACAGTGTTCTTCCATATCCGTAATTAAACATCAATATTTAAGGACAATGTGAATTGATTTCATTTTAAAGATAGAAAATAAAGAAACGCATATTAGTACGAACTGAAGTATCAGCGTACATGTTCATTTCTTCAGATTTTAGCAACATAAACAATATCTGCCAAAAAAAAATGACAAAGTGTTTTCTAAACAAAACTTCATTTACTCTGTTTAGTTATTTATGGAAGTAGGTAAAGTATGTGGCATACACAAGCAGATTATGAAACGTTTACGATTTATACCCATTAAACTAATTCTGCTGAAATATTTTCTCGAATCTGTCTTATTCGAGGAAAAGTTAGTAAGGCGAAACTGAAAATGTTTTTGTTTCTCTAGGAAAACACCTATTTACGTCACTGTATCAAATGTTATTTTTTGGCTTGCTTCACCACCGAAAATTTTATACCTCTGACCATTACTTGTCTAATTAACTGTAATTACTGTAATCAAATTAGTATGGTATTGGACTGCTTAACAGGTGACTGACTGTAGACTACACCTGATGCTTGGTTTAGCTTATTTCAGTTCATCGTCCACTTTTGTTTTCACTCTGATTTGCTTCATAGGTGATGCGTTGTTTCTTTGATGGAATATTCTGGTGGTGAATTACGACCGCATGAAACAGTTAACACATTTAGTCGGTACACTAAATCTAGATAAGAAACACTGAACAAAAACCAAATTTTGTTAATATTCATTAAACGTAGAAATATACTAAACATTAATAGACAAAAGACAAGTAGTTCAGCGAAGAGTCTCTTTTCGGCGAATTCATTTTCACAGCTGTACAATCACAAATATATATGGTTATTTTGTATATATATATATATATATATATACATTATATTTGTCAAACGAAAATACATTTAGTAAGTTCAGATGAATTGGATGTTGGTAAGAGGATAGTAACAAACATGATGGGTTGTCAAAACGATTGTTAAAGAGGAGTAAGTTCAGGTGAATTGGATGTTAATATAAGACAATATTTATGACAACTCATCACTTTTGTTACTATCCTCTTACCAACATCCAATTCATCTGAACTTACTAACTGTATTTTCGTTTGACAAATTTAATGTATATATATATATATATATATATATATATATATATACAAAATAACCATATATATTTGTGATTGTACAGCTATGAAAATGAATTCGCCGAAAAGAGACTCTTCGCTGAACTACTTGTCTTTTGTCTTTTAATGTTCGAATGGCAATTATTCATAAATATACTAAACAGTCGCTGGATAAGAACTACTAATGCAGTCCAGCGTCAGACGTTTCAAGTACCAATTACTTAATCAAGTGAATTTTTACAAATGTCTTAGAGATAATTTAACTTTCATTGGTTAAAAAATCAAAACAACCGACCCTGCCCAAATGGTGGGATTATCTGTGAGCTTTTTCTCGTAACCGGACGGCGTCGTGGATATACACTACTGAAGTAGGATGAAACAACTGTCCAGTGTTCCCTGGTTTTCAATAATTTCACGAACTGATAGTTGTTCGTGACGAAAAACTGACAGTTGAAATGTTTATACGTTTTTGACTAAAAGTTCAGCTACAAATATAACTTTTGAATGACGTTCTACTTATTTTCGACTGCATCTTGCTTTATCTTATAGCAAGTCAAAACCAACTACAAGGAATAATAAGGTTACATAGGGAAGATACACTTCATTCAATTAACATTTTAGCAATTGTCTGCACGGGTTACATTTTTTATCCTTCTGTATGTGTGAATAGACCTTAGGTTAATTTAAAAGCTTAGTACTAGCGAAAGTTAAATTCATACATTTCTGAAAATATAATAACTGAACCTGAACTAGTCCTTTACATCATTTAGAATGGTGTATTAGTCTATGATTTCATCATAAAATCATACTGAAAGCACCATATCATGTGCTTTCAATGTATTCGAAATTACTCAAATTAAAAAGTTTAACAAACTAATGGCAAAAAGGATATTCTGCTAAGATAAAAAAAAGTCACCAATGAAATACCAACAGCTATCGATGAAACAAATTGGGTTACCAACTTCTCGACAAGATTATTATAGCTCTAATGAAATGAAAGTGCTTAAAGTAGGATTAAACTTCAATGCATCTGTTGGTATATATTAAAATCTGAGGATGTTTAGAAGTAACAGTAAGCAAAGCAGATAAAACACACTACTGAGCAAGTTAGAACACAATATGCCTTTATGCTGCAACACCAACAGAAAGCAAAATATGACTTATCAGAACAACAAAAAATGGCAGCTCTGAAAATTAGCAGACAAGACAATTCAACAGTAGCTATGGCCTGATCAGATTTTATCAATAAGGTCAACAAGCATGCTGAAAAGGTGTAATAGACTAAATAGAGAACGTTAAAACAAACTTTTGCGCATAACAACTTCTTTCTTTTTTTTAAAAATTTTGTTGTCTGTATACTAGTAACTCGTTGTTGTAAGGGTTAATTTCTTATCTCATCAAACAAGAATAAGCTGGATTCAGTGTATTGACCAAGTAAGAATATTTATCTAGGCAACACCAATATGAGGTCAAATTCTGATCAATGGTAACATGAAATTGTACAACACCACACCCACATCTCTTTCCAACCTTATTCATCATAAACTTTTGTCATATTTACCTTGACTTTGATACATCTTACAAGTATAACATGGATAACGGATGACTTTTATCCTTTATATTGAGATTCGTACATAAGCAAATATGTACTAGTTTATCTCTATTTATGATAAACAACACAACGAATACATTATGGCTGAACTAAATAAAGTCAACATTATATTCTTGATATTTCCTAACCTTATATTCTTCGTAAAATCATAATCAAAACAATTAGGTGGAAATGATTGTTTACTTTCATTTCTTTTTTTCTGTTTTCTTCTTTTTTTAACTGTATGTTTCTGTTGATTAAATTTGGTTTAAAATTCAAATGAACTGGTGAATGCAAAATATAATTAATTAAAACAAAACAAATAGATTGACAAATATGCGGAATTCGCATACAAACATATTCACAATTGTAATAATGACAGTAATAATATAGCAAACAACAATATTTATCAAGTTAGTTGTCAACTGCACAGTCAGAATGATTTCCTCAATTTCAGTAATACAATTTCAATGAACTATCCAAGCAATGAGGAAAATATGGACATGGATGACCTGTTCATTGGAAAGACAATTCTGGACTGCAATAAACAAAGCAAGTGTGCATTGTATGTATGCTAATTTATATTCTGTAGGTTTATTTCTAGGATTTGAATACCGCATGCTGAAAGTGAACCCTGTTTGAATGGGTTTTCGTCAGTTGTGTAGACTTTACATCCTATGGTTATGTGGTCCTGTTATGAATATTCACTTTATGATTTATTATGATTCAGTCTGATATAAAGCATGTCAAAAAAGACAGTTTTGTGTGTCCTCAAAGGGTTGGTATTTTCTTGCATTCATATTATTTAACGTGTTTGTGTCAGTTATGATTTTTACTGAAATGCTAATATTAGCTACTCACTCACCCGTCATATTCTGACCTTATTGAACTAATCTTGTCACACTGATATTAGACCATTCTCTATGAGCTTCTGTTGATTTACCGTTGACTTGTTTATTGGTTGATACCTTCTTCGTAATCTGCACATTGCTTCTATATAAAGTGGTTTCTGGTTGCTGTTTTGTTAAAGCTTTTGCCAACACATCTTGTACTTTGGTTAGCACAGTTGTACGGTGTTACCATGAGTCTTTACGCCTGTAATTAGTGCTTGTAGATAACCATTCTAATGAGATTAACCTTCAGACGTCACCTATATCTTTCAGGAGCTGTAGTTGGTAAGATTTATATGTTTTGCTCTTCCACTCTTGTGAACCTCCTGAAATCATTGGTTTATGTAAAACATTGAGTATTTCCCTCTAACCCACTTGTTCCAATAAGTATGATTATCATCTCTGTGTGTTACATTATAGATTCAACCGGCAGCCATGATACTGGTTTTGATACAACGAAGTCATCTCCTAAATCTTTCCACTGCATCAGAACTAGACGGCGTCGAATCTACAGCATGTTTCTGTGCAGACTTAGCATTACTTTCTGAGTGATTTTTTGAGAATTTCGAACGTTGATAAGAAGGATTTTCAAGCATTGGTTTTGTAGGAATTTTGTTTGATTGCATGGGAAGCCGTGAAGGTTGAAGATGAAGCAGTAACTCATCGAAGAAGACATTGCGAAATGGTCGCGCTATGCTGTGAATTGGCATAAGTTAGAATTCATGGGCCATTGGATCGGCTCCCAGTAGCTCAATGGTCTACGAGCTCGCCTTGTAACCAGAAGGTCCTGGGTTCGAACCTTGGCAGTGGGTGCGTACTGATGAAGAGTACCAAACTAGGACGAAACAGCTGTCCAATACTCCAAGGTTTTCCAGTGGTTCTCTAACTGATGTCAGCTCATGGTGAAATCCCCTATGCAATCAGATAAAAAGGATGTTTAGTGTTTCTGTTTTACAACTCTGCTGATCGATGTTAGTTACAAAGCATGATTTTTTATTTCTGTCGGAAAGTGGGTATTTGAATAGATTTAGAAACGGATTGCAGCAAGGTTTTTGAGGTTTTATTTGTTTAAGGAAACAAAATTTAAATATAAAAAGTGCTAAGCTTTCCTACTGAAGTTTGCACTGAAGACATTGTCTAGATAGAAAATAAGAGCTGTGTAATTAATTAAATCAGCTAAATCAGAACGGATAATTATTCACTCGATTATTTGGCATAAATTGTCTTTCCAATAATTTTATGCTAATTTCATCATCTTCAATGCTATTCAGAGGGATTCACATCCGATATGATAATCAATCAGCTTCAATGAGAATGGCTTCCTATTCTGATAAAAAAAGTTTCCTGAAAAAGTTTGAACAAATATATTTACAAGCATTATTTATATGAATAAATTTTTTATAGGATCGATTACAGAAAAAGAAAACATAGAATTAAATAAAATGAAACTATCCTGCAAGTGTAAACGTAAATTAAGTGTTATGTGAGTCGCAGATCTAATGGCTAGGCATTACCAGCCAAATCACATGAAAATAGGATCAAATATGTCGTCCAGTGGCATGTTCTAAGAGTCGAATCAAAACACCAACAAGGAACCATCATCAAAGACCACAAGAAAATTCATCCTACCATACATGAGAAGTATCCCTGAAATAACAGCTAGAATACTGAAACCGTTTGATATACATATAACACACAAGCCACATAAATCGCTTAATTCGATATTATGCAAAACGAAAGATCCAACAGAAAAAGGAGATAAAATTAATACCATTTACAAAATAAATTGTATGAACTGTAACAGGCATTACATCGGTCAAAGTGGGCGTCCCTTCGAATTAGAATACAAGAACACAAATCAGCTGTGAAAAGACACGATATATATTCTTTCATATCAATGCACAAATACAATTATGGACATCAGTTTGATTGAGGTAATGTCGAAATCTTAGACAGAAGAGACACCAAAAGTGCAGTCAGGGAATTCCTAGAAGCCTCGTACTCAAACGGATATGCAATTAACAAACACGTTAATATAGACGAAATATACCAACTAATAAAAAGTAAATCAGGTGACCAGAAAGTTTAAAATCCAAGTCAATAGAAAATGGTCAGTACATATGTAAAGATGGTTATCGGTTGACGCAATTCCATCACTCATGAAGAAGTTTAAATCATTTCACTTTATGCTAAATATTGCGCTGAAGATATTGTCCAGAAGGACGACGAAAGCTCAACGACTAAAACAACCAGCTCTGAGAACACTATTAATTGCAGAACGTAAACCTGTAAAGGCTCATCAATTCACTCTGGCGAATACAAATTCAAGCAGTAAAAAATGAAAAGTGAATTCAGAGTATCCAGAATCATGGCGGATATTAATTAAGTTGTGATACTACTCTTACTTATAAAACCTGATAAGCGTTGCCAAGGTGGGTTAGGCTTAACAAACACAAAGTCAGCTTAAGTTTGTGAATATCTCTGATCACAATACAACACAGAAACGAAACCCCATGTAAAAAACTTTTTAATTTAATAGCTCAAGAGCTATTTTAAAATCAGTCAAGTGATTCATTTATAGTATGTATTTCTATACATGAAAACGGTTCTAAACCATCTCCAATTTTTGCTGTTTGAAAGTTAAGTTATCGCCAAACTATTTGCTTACATTTTCCTTTAATTTCTACTGAATTATGTTACTTCGCGTCCATAATTATTGACATACACAAAAGTGCAGAATGTAGCATAATCACATGATTAATGTCAAAGTTTACTGTTCAGTGTAACAAGCTTCTGGGTGTACCATATTTTATTGAAATGAAATTCCGGTCACTCATTGAAAATCATACAATTTAACCTATCCCCTAGAACTGATTCTATAGAAACATCCATTTGAACAGAGTAGACAGTAAGCATTGAGAAGCTAAAAGTCTTGAGCATCAGTTCGAAATATCTCATTGGATATCTAATTAACGCCAGTACATCAAGCTTTTTTACGATCTTAATCCATTATATCAACTCTGCCAGTGCCCTAAATCTTATCAGACAAATCTTCTCTGCCATTGACAGTGATTTACAAAGCATTTCTGTTACTGTTACCTTCATCATTTTACAGATCTTGACAGCGGTTGGATCATTTGTTTGGCTTGAGTTCAGTTCCAATCACTGTATTCGAATCATCTTGATATTAATCAAATGAACTGTAGTCAATATTTGACAGAATAGTTCTAAAATATTTGGGCGCCGAGTAAGAAGTAGACATTTATAAAAAAAAATTATACTTGTAAAAACTCAGCGATATTGAAATGAGTGATTCCAACGTTTCGTTCAGCAATCTGGTCCGAACTTCTTCAGGGAATTTAATCGAAATAACCATAACAGAGGTTTATATATAAAAGGAACATCTCTTATTTCTAAAAATTTTATCTTATCATGAGTCATAAAACAGGCATCAACATGTACAATAAACAAAATTGTATGAGTTGTGATCAAAATTTGACCTCAGACCTAGAAATATTGATCTACCTTTGTTAAACACTTTATACACAGTGTGTATGTGTGCGGATAAACAGTTGTAAAACAATGTCTTAACGTCTCCATAAGTAGATATAGACAGTCAGGAACTTTGATCCAGTATTATTAGTTAGTGATACATATCCATTCTTATTTATTATGTTAATTTCGATTAATTTCCCTGAAGAAGTTCGGACCAGATTGCCGAACGAAACTTTGGAATTACTCACTTCAATATCGCTGAGTTTGTACAAATATAATTTTTTACAAATTTTGATATTACTTTGGTCAGATTCCTAGTTGGATAAAAATTCTATCTATATTCAGTGTATTCACTTACTGCTGTAATTTCGACTCTCTGTTTTATGAAACAAAGTGGAATATCTGATACAAAACACCCAACCAAAAAATTTGTATTAGGCCTATAGTTTTTAAGATTTTACTAAAATTTATGGTGACCGGATTTAAGTAAAACTCTTTAAAAACAATGACAACGGCAATAGACAGATAAGGGTTTTATCCAAGAAATCTCACTCCTATCACTTTACGTTTCTTTAGTCTAAATTGTTCAAAAAACACCTATGTTTTCTATGCTGATCGCTTCACTTACTTGGGAAGTACCATCAGCCAGTGACAACGGGTTGATTTCTGACGAAATCTCAGCAGGGATACAGAGAGCTAGTTTCGCATATGCCAATCTACGCCGTCTCTGGCGTGGACGTGATATCCGACTATCGACCAAAGGGCGGCTGTACTACTCAGAAGTCCGCTCCGTCCTCCTTTATAACTGTGAAACCTGGCCATTGAGAGTTGAAGACATGAAAAGCCTGACTAGTTGTCTTTGATCATAGGTGCCTGCGTTCTATATCCCGTGTGAAGTGGTATAATAAGGTGAGCAATATTGGGGTTAGGCATCGGTCGAGTGCTAGGTGAGGAGGGGAAATCAATCGACGAGGCTGTGAGATTACATCGACTCCGATGGTTAGGACATGTGTTACGTATGCCTAGTCATCGCCTTCCTTGACTGACGGCTAATGTTAGCTGATATAGGGTCAGGCTGGAAAAAAGCTAGCGGCGGTCAAACCCGGGACGGTAAAAACCAATGGTTGGAAACCATTGGTGACATGGCTCAAAATCGTTCTCAATGGCTAGCGAAGATGCATCCACTCCTTGTGACTTATGATTTCCAACGAAACTGTATTGTTCCTCGCTATTACTATTCCTTTGTCTCACACCTCTGTTTACTGTCTCTAATATGCATTTCTTCTACTTTCTTCTCTTGCTTTGTGTGCTACATGGAGGGAGTGTGGCGACTTGAACTGCCGCACATAGGTGCAAAGTTCTATGTCGAAAACAGACAGACAAATGCGAAGAAAAGAAGCTATGCACATAGCTATCGGGTTTAATATGGAAGAGAAAGACTCCGATTTCGCGTTTGTTAGCCCCATTATCAAGAGATTTCTGGGATTTATACTTCAAAATATTAAATATTCCCACAATAAAATTTAGAACAACACATTTCAGCGAACAATATTTCATTCAATTAGTTCTCATCAGGCTTAACTCTAATATGCATAACTTCATAAATAAAAATTCAAATATAAACCAATCACGGTGTTTTGTCAATAGGATAATAGGATTGCGCACATCGACCCTCATGTTATATCACGAATTGATAGAAGTTAGAATCCATAGGCCATTGAATTAGGTGCCAGGGGCTGAATGGTATACGAGCTAGCTCGCCTTGTAACCGGAAGGTCCTGGGTTCAAACCCCTGGCGATAGTTGCGTACTGGCGATTATTCCCAAACTAGGATGAAACAGGTGTCCGGTACTCCCTGCTGATTTTCAATGCTTCTCTAACTGATATCAATACGTGGTCAAACTTGTAAAAACAAATTCAATCCTTATAAAATAACTCTTGAAAAATAATGGTTCTAGTAATAATAAGGATGAAAAAGTGAGGCGATCAGGAATAAAAAGAATAAAAAAACTGCATCATTAAACAAACAAATGTTCAGGTAGAAGAAGTCGATAAAGGCTGAGAAAAACAAATGGACCGATTGAATTAATGTCACACTGCAAGTGAAGTAAATCAAATGCGTTTTAATGAAGATGTGATAAGATTTAGGGATGATAAGAGAGGAGTTGGAAATATAAGTAAGGGGTGGTGGAGAATTCGTCAGTTGGTTAAGTCATAGTAGGTCAAGGGAGGGATAGTGGCTATAGAAACTTCGTTTGAAAGCATTGTTTAGGTTTAATAGTTCGAATGTCTACCACCTCAGCTGTGTACAGTAGATGAATACGAAGTCTATTGGAAAGATTCGGTGAAATGTGGTTAATTATGTAGAATGCTTTCGTTTTCGCCACTACATGACCACTATCAACTAAATGTGACAAAACTGAGCTACGGATTGTTTTCGTCTGTCCTTTGCCAAGCCACGATGGGATATGTTCAGTAACGCGTCGGCTAAGCTGTCTAGGAGTACGCCTAACATAACTGTCACCGCAGGTGCAGTTGAATTAATAAATGTACATTGATATGGCAAAACTATCTAGCTTATCCTTCGCTTGCGTCTCAATCATTAATAAAGTAGAGAATGACAAACATGGGTTTGTTGAGTAAAACGTCCTTCGTACACTTCCCGAAAGTCTCTGGAATAAAATCTCCCCTGATAAGTCACCATTAAATTGCAGCTTATTAAATAGAGGCTTCTTACGTGCAGTCATGGTCTCTGGTTTTCTCTCCAGTGTCTTCATATATTTCTTCATGAAAATTATTGGCTAGCCCATCTCGTCAATGAATCATGAATATATTCAAATTCCCTTTGTAAGTGATCATCCGTAGGTATCTTTCTTGCTCCACTTGTAAGACATTTAACAACACTTCTTTTATATATTTAGTGGACACGTAATTAAGGAAGTGTGGGTACTGCCCTGTGAATGTGCTTCTTCTATACACGCATCTCTCAAGTGACCCATCTTCTCACCTACTTCGCAATACATCCGGAAGATACAGTTTATTCTCTTGCTCCTCTTCACAAGTAAAAGTAAGCGAAGGGTGAATGATGTTGAATTTCATCAGCAATTCGTCTATGTTTGCATTCCTACCAACTAAGATCAATGCATAATCGACATAACGGTAATACATATCCGACACTTTGATAATATCTTTCTATATCCCTTTCCCAAGTTTTGCGAGAAAGAAATCAGCTAAGATTGGGCCTAATGCTGAACCCACAGCTATCCCATTTACTTGTTGACAACATGAATTGTTGAAGACGAAATGCACATTCGTTGGGTATTTAAGGAGCAATTATTTGAGGTTACACAAGGGGATTCCTAAGTCCATTCGCCTTTTGGTGATTTCTTGGCAAATGTAATCTACTGTCTCGATAAGTATTGCATTCGTGAATAGTGATGATACATTCATGGGCAACATACGTTTATCCCTCATATCAATCTCGGGTATTTTAGAAATGAAGTCGAAGACATGAGTAATTCTATGTCGCACAATTTCTTTGTGCATAGGTCCCAGAATCTTCACTAAGCACTGTGCTGTTCCGTGAAATGGATATATATGCACATCCATAACTGGGCAAAGAGGAAGACCCGGTTTGTTTACTTTGCGTAGACGATGAAGACGTGGATTGGTGGCACCCGTTGGCTTCGTAGACTATTATTGGTAGAACCATTATTATTATCATTATTATGGTTAACTGCACAATTTATATTCACCATCTTATTATCCTATTGACAAAACACAGTGATTGGTTTATATTTGAATTTTTTTTTGTATAAAGTTATGCATATTAGAGTTAAGCCTGATGAGAACTAATTGAAAACAATACTGTTCGTTTAAATGTGATGTTCTAAAATTATATTTTATTCACGCCAATTTCAAGAATTTATCACTCATATATTCACTATCACCGACAGACTTGGATGGGTACTTACAAATTTCTATAATTTGGTCACCATTTGATTTTACTACTTATCTGCTGGATCTTTCGTTGTCATATTCAAAGTTGGGTTAGGAATAATTTAAAACTATATAAATCCCTGTTATATTACTAAGTCGAGTACCCTATGATTTCCTCCTACTGATTTGTTTTAATACTGAGGGCCACATTTAGAAAGAGGAATTTTTCAATAGCCTGAGTTTGGATATTAGGTGTAGAATAAAGACTATTTCTGAATATCTATATCTATAGTGACTGGTTTCATAGCATCAATATTAATAATAGTCACTAGTTACACTAAGGGTGTAGGCATCCAGTTGGAACGTCTTGAGTATTCAGGATTTTACGGCTTCCTGACTGACAACACTACAAACCTCTACATTTTTACCTGCCAACCGAATTATTAGACTCGAACCTCTAAAAGATTTTATCTTTCTGCCTTCTATTTTTCTACCGGTGCTAATCACTTGTTTTTCAGCTTTATACTATTCACCTTTACAGTTCTGCGGAAATAAACACCGATGTAAGTCAGTCGCTCAATTTGGTGTATTAGGATCCTCTACTGTTGCCAAAGAGTAAGTACAGGACATAGATTTATTCTCCCTGCCTGGTATCCTTAGATTGAATTTCCTCCGATTAAGTAAGAATGTCTGAGATCACCTTTCATTATATAGCGGAAAAACTACTAGTCTCTCAACGATGAAAAATTCCAACAAGTATACAGTTTAAAAATTTCTTGAGACAAATCACTGCATGAATTGGAATAAATAACTAGTAGTAGGACCATTCCACTTGTCTCAATAACTTATCTAATGAATTAACAGACCTGTTTTTAATGTTTTTACCTCGCTTTCAGAGGTACACAGGAGTAAAGGTTGACTTAAATAATTATTCTAACTTCTTCATACTATTTTCGTACAACCTGTTTCATAAATTCCTTCAGTCTTTTTGTTATAAGTGCTGAAAAGGCCAACAGCTTATTGGTAGATCCTAAAATTTTCTACACTATGGTATTTATAATAAATTAGGGTAACCTGAAAGGTATATTAGCTAACTTGGGAAGAAACCATTACAGAATGTGATAAGCTTCTGGGATCAAAGTTGATGCAATAAGTTCTAGTATTTGTCTAAACGATATATATATATATATTTTAAGTAACTCAGGGCATTATTTTTTCTAGGAACTGTGATGCAAGCACAAATAGCCAGTGATTACAATGCAATGTTAGAAACCAACAGCGTTGAAAAATCCAAAAATGAAGGCCATCTAAATGCCCGCTTCATGACAAATCTGGATCATTTAAACAATTTTCATCTGTTTTCATACTGGAGACCAGAGTTAATTGAGGATATATTAGTGAGTGTTTTTTATAGCTTTTTTTATCAGATATACTCGGAATGATAAAGAATAAAATGTTTATATTTAGCACTTTTAAAGAGATTATTTGAAATAATTAATGAATAGCTTCGAAAGTAGTAGGAAACGTTTTTACTAGCCACTCCACTGTTTTGCTGAGAATATGATTCAACAAATGCTTAAGTTTACCACTCACTTCATGCAAGTGTTGGTATATAACCTCGCATTGAGTACCTATTAATCTCCTAGGTATAAATAATGTGTTTATTTTGGAACAATCAAACCACCATCCAGAAGGACAACCTGCCAAATAGAAAAACAATTACATTGTGATGTTTAAATCGACTTAATATTGAAGTATATAAGCTGGACGAAAAATTATTTAGTTTTCAACTACTTGAAGTGACATACTGCCTGTCATTTACTATATCATATGAGGGAAATTTGCTTCAGAAGCAATTGAAATAAGAACAAATTAGTTCAGCGAAGTCTCTTTTCGGCGAATTCATTCTCTTAGCTGTACAGTCGCAAATATACACAATTAATTTTGTGTGTGTGTGTGTGTACATAAGGTTTGTCAAAATCAAAATCAAAATAACAGTTAGTGTGGGTTGTTGATTACATCATCAAAATAATAAAGAAATTAAATTGTGTGAATAGTAATCAAAGTTGTAACTAAGTGGGGTGAAAATTGGTAAGATGTGAGTAGGGTTACGTAATATGAAAATAAACTAGATAATAGGTGAAAAGATTGAATGGGTTAGTTACTAAAAATTATTATACGAATATTGCAAAAATAATTTGATAACAAAATGTTGATGACAGATGAACTTGAAATTAAACCCACGGTAGTAGGAGAGGGTGGAGAAGTTTCTTCTGTGTGCATAATTCAGGCTTTTCTATCCAGATCTCTAAGGCTTCGGCAATACAAAGTATACGGAAGCTTGTCGATTTTGGAAGGCTTCTTTTGACTTTATAGATGACTTTGAATGACTTCTCCTTGCAAATCGAATGACCAGTGTTAAGTGTATGCTCAATAATGGCGCTACTTATTGCTACATTGTTACCTTTCCGTAGCCAGGCGCCATTATTGAGCATACACTTAACACTGGTCATTCGATTTGCAAGGAGAAGTCATTCAAAGTCATCTATAAAGTCAAAAGAAGCCTTCCAAAATCGACAAGCTTCCGTATACTTTGTATTGCCGAAGCCTTAGAGATCTGGATAGAAAAGCCTGAATTATGCACACAGAAGAAACTTCTCCACCCTCTCCTACTACCGTGGGTTTAATTTCAAGTTCATCTGTCATCAACATTTTGTTATCAAATTATTTTTGCAATATTCGTATAATAATTTTTAGTAACTAACCCATTCAATCTTTTCACCTATTATCTAGTTTATTTTCATAATTGTCTCCATACTCCTTCACGAACATCTAATCTTTCTAAACATGTCTATATTACGTAACCCTACTCACATCTTACCAATTTTCACCCCACTTAGTTACAACTTTGATTACTATTCACACAATTTAATTTCTTTATTATTTTGATGATGTAATCAACAACCCACACTAACTGTTATTTTGATTTTGATTTTGACAAACCTTATGTACACACACACACACACAAAATTAATTGTGTATATTTGCGACTGTACAGCTAAGAGAATGAATTCGCCGAAAAGAGACTCTTCGCTGAACTTATTTGTTCTTATTTCAATGTCTTAATGGGTATTTTTCAGAAACAATTCTCTATTCTCTTAAGATAGTTTTATGACGGTGGTCAAGTGAATACAGCCTGAAGATGATTTGGTTGTCGAATGATCCGAATTATGCGAACCAGTCATAACGAAGAACTATTTTACGACTCAAATGTGTTTTTCAGGATTTCACCATGATCTGACATTAGTTACAGAACCGTTGGAAAACCAACCAGGGAGTATTGGACGGATGGTCCGTTCTAGTTCGAGACTTTTCATTAGTGCACACTTATCGGGTTTCGAATCCAAAACCTTCTGGTTCTGACGGGTAGTCGTAACCAGTAGGGGACAGTATGTCGGGTGTGAGGACAAATACTCACCAAAGACACTGCCTAGTAGTTGCGTTATGTTGTGAATTTGCAGAGGTTTGAATCAGTGGGTCACTGGATCGGGTCCCAGTGGTTTGTTAGTCTACGACCTCACCTTGTAAACGGAAGCTCCTGGGTACGAACCCCTGGTGCAGGGTATTTACTGCTGAAGAGTCCCAAACTATGACGAAGCAGTTTCCTGCAGGTTTTTCGACGGTTCTCTACCTGATGTCAACTCATGATAAAATTCTGTAGGCATACAATCAAATACCTGTAAACCAATACTTGAATACCAAATGTACTGTACTGCAAAATATTTTTTCACTCTCATCTCATCTCATCTGTTTAACAGCAATGCTTTTAATAAATAGTTGAATGCAGTTCATATAATAACCAAATATTCTCTGTTTCAATGGAAACGATAAATAATATTGCCGTCTTAAAATCCCATTCTCCAATAATAATAATAATATGATGGAATGTTCTCAAAACAAATGAATTGTCTATAGTTTTGTCCGAATAATAAGCAAACAACAGGCTATACATGAACGAAAAATAGCTTTTCTTTAATGAAAAATAAGTATTATTCTGTTATCTTTCAAGATAAATAAACAAACTGGCGGTATCAATACAAAAATGACGCAATCCTCCCTAATCTTTTACCGTCTCATTTACTTTTTTCAAAGTTTAGGTCACTAGACAGTGCAAGATAAGTAAATGCTTTTAAAAAAACTACTCATTTACATTCAGTCAGTGACAGTGGAGAAGTAACGCGTTCAGTTTAAGTTAAGACAGCCAAAAATAAGAATAGATAATGTCAAAACGGTAGGTTTTAACGGTGTTATTTGCTAATACCTTTCCACATAGAAACAGACCAAGGTTACTTATGATAACTTTGATAAGCTTTAGAATAGGATGTAAACGTTATCCAAATTTATATATACATGTATGTATGATAGGAAATGTTTCAATATACTTTCATAATTATGTATTCAAACAAAATATCTTCAAGGTAAAAAAAAAGTCGTGCTAAATATTGTACACACGTAGAAACGCGGTATTAGTCGTTTAACATACTCATCTGTTGCCATGTCTCTCTAGGTTGAAACGAAATACTCAAGAATAAGGCTTCCCATTTTTCCATTTCAAAATGAAAAATCAGAAATGTATAAGCTGAATGCGGATATCGAATTTATTTTAAATAAATCATGGTTTTTATGCTTCTTCAGTCTTGCTAATCTTGAATAATATGATTATTCCGTTAACAAATTCACGCTAAAAGAGAGTTTCACCGGTTTTTAATTACTCACATAAGTTTACTATATATATTGCAGGTGTGAAATGCACGCCTTCTTGATGTCAGCGCATCACAGGATGAATTGTAAACGTTTTAATTTCCCCAGTGAAACCAGAGCAAGACTTAACTATCTGACATGATCACTTCTAGCAACATCTGCTTGAAAGCTGGCAGACTGAGATTAAATTAAGTGCCTAGTACCAGAAGTCCACAGATTATTATGTCTGTCCACCACACAAAGTGTTTAGAGGTATTATCACTCATCCAGTTCTTATCTGTTTCCATATTTGAATGATCTGTAGACTACTTTTGAGTTTAGTGGTAAATCCACTGAATTCTTTCTTATATATGCAAAGAATATTTTATAAAATATAAACACCTTAAATTTTTATAACTTGTTTTCTTGTTTTTAACAATTTTCACAAGACATGTCCAAGTGAATTACCAAAATATTTTAATCCAATGAATGAATACTCACTATTCAGAACATTTCATCATACAAAGAAACTACTCATACATTCAATGGATGATATAATTGATTCTGTCGATGAAATTAAACTTCTTCAGCTCACTAACACACTTCTATTCGATGCAGAAAGTTTCATTCAAGAAATGAAAAAGTGGATTGATAATGACTACTTTTACCTTCAAACAATAAATGCTACAGTGCTTAAAAGTATTGCACAAATTAACTTCAATGTTACTGAATCAAAGGTTTGGCAAACTGTACAGATACTTTTCAACAACATGACGTCATCACAACTGAGTATACTTAAGGACTTAGAAAACAATTATAAGCAGTTTTGGGTAAGTTATGCATGAAATTAATATTTTCTTCTATACTCATAAAATGCTGTTATGTGTTATAGAAGAATTCAGTCACACTACTCAAGGTAATACAGTATTATATAAAGCAGCTAGAAAGAGAATTCAGCGTATTCCTCACAACTCGATTTCCTTTCACAACTTTATAATAGAATGGATAACTCTGACAATATATAAATCGAAAAATACCAACGACTATATTTTGAATTTTCCTTATCATCTATGAGGAGTTACCAGCTGTCATCATCTTTGATAATACAGTCACTTTTCGACATCACCTTACTCTCTTTGTTTAATTTTTCCACTTAGTTCCAGATAAGTTCTTTTTCAAAACCTTAAAAATGTCAATGATAGACTGAAGACGAAGAGGGGAAACACCAACATTTATAAGGTAATTAAAATCTGTTAGGCTAAAGGGGTTTCATAAATTGTTGATCATTCGATAAACTCAGACTGAATGTTTTAACTCAAACCAACTCCTCAGTAATTTCTTTGATCACAAAGGAATCAAAGGACTTTTTCTGCCTACTTTTAGTGTCAAGACTTATATGAGTAATATTATCCAGTTAAAGGCTGCATCAGATAAAGTTTAACTGGAGGCTTTCCAGCTCATCTACAATGTTTTGTAACTTATTCAAAAACATTGTGATTAGTCGGACATTTTGTTTACAGTTTTCAGATAAATTCTTTGTGATACAAAGCCTAACTTCAGCAATTCTTTCAGATTGCTTTTAACTATACCATATAAAAGAACAACAGGAAGTATAACGGATGAACGCATTCATCATAGTAAGTAGGGATTTCCCCCCATTACCCACTCTATCTGCCCAAACCAACAAGTTGGCATATACCAATGACTTACAGATTTGTTTACTAACTACTTTTATAACATTTTCCAGTAACTATCTAATAATACCACTGTTTTGTTTTAAAAGGTTTTTGCTGATAACCGACACAATATTACAGCAATTACTGGTTCGTTAGTAGCTGGGTTTCTTAGCACAACTGGTAGGGCACTGGGCTACTAATTGAGAAACAAGAAGTTTCACTTTTACCGTGATTTACCCGGATTTACATTTCAATCTCTTATCATTATCATTTAGATCTATTTTTATTTTTTTATTTATTTTTTTTATTACAGCTTGATTCCAAGCTGTATTTTTTGGTAGAGGTATGGAATTTCCAGCATGTGATATAGGTAGCCCAAACTTTGCAGGCCGACCATAGATATCAGGTGTTCTTCGGCAGGGGATCGAACCTCGGAGCATGTGCATTGTCGGCGAGAGTCCTAGCCACTGTGCCACCGACGCACAGTAGTAGTCTGCTGTTCCAAGGTTATCTGAGACAATTTCACCATCTCCTGCAGCATTTGGTTACGCTTAACTAACAGCCTCAAAACTTTGTCTTTTTTTATAACTGAACAACTATAACGCACCTATCTGTTTAACTATCTCTTATGTTTAACGTTTTACATGACCTCATTGTAGTAATCTACATAATACCTACTTATAAGGATTAAAGTACATTATTAGTTTCCATAAATGAGCATCACCAATACGATTAATAAGCCTTTGTAAATGAACTAAGCGAAGTGGGTAATTTTGCTAGGAAGATAGTCTGTCTTTCCAAAGGCAAACGTTAAATCATTCCAAGAATGTCAAATAAGGTCACTGTTACATTACTGTCGAATAACTACTGTCTCTTGCTTTTCGGTTTTTTCTCATGTTCACTGTGTTCAATATTCCAACTTCTAGTTATTTAATTTTATTTCACTTCTTCCCGGTTAATTTAAGGCTGAAAATTTTACAAAACGTGTACTAAAAAAAGATAAAAATAACTCATCCCTGAAGTACTCTTTCTCTTGTGATGTGTAGAAAAACACTTAAATAGACTCAACAATTTTGTTTTACTCTTTGTTTTATTTTCATAAGGACTAGATTAAAATGATATTTTTTTCCCTAAACCTTATAATGAGGGAGAATAAGCAAAACGAAACGTTTAGATTCTACCAAGATTTGTTATAAGATCGGATTAATTTTATGCGTTGTCTAGTTTTACGTTATTACACTAGTTTAAAAAAAATTGTTACATACATAAATGCTCATTAGTTGATTGTCGAACATTTTGGAGTAATGAAATGCGCTTGAAGGCACAAATAAAAGTTTCTCTATATTTTTTATTGGAAATTATTTCACAGTTAATACTGAGAGAGGCGTGAAAACTTGTTTTTTTTTAGTTATCTGTCACCCAGATTGAAAGAATATTTCAGACAGCGTCAATTAGGTAATAAATTTAGCGTTAGAAAGTGAAACTGAAAACATCTAAACTGAAGTATACAATAGACTGAATCTTTCTCATTTCGATTCACACAAAACTCTGTGAAGCTTAAAATGTTTTCTATTGAAATCATCAGGCATCTTCATAGATTGATACCAGCAGATCATATAGTAAACTGCAGATACTAAAGAAATTCTCTGAGGCTATAACTACAAAAGCAGCTAAAAAACTGATAAACAAGTTGTGATTGTTTGAATTTCGGCATAAAACAACAGTGATCAAAAACCACTGATTTAATTGGAAGGCTGCTAAAAGCTTAGAATACTTAAGTAATGTTAATAAAATATTAACAAAACACCGCTCAATACTCAAGATCAGATTGCCGGCCAGAAAAGATCAGCAACAAAGATCTCTGGCAATGAGCGAACCAACCAGGAACCGATTGTAAAACAAATAGGCAGGAAGAAATGGAGATGGATTGGCTGGCCATACACTGAGGAAACCACCATGTGACATCACTAGACAAGCCATTGCTCGAGTGGAACCCGAAAGGGAAGCGGCGAGTTGGTCGTCAGTCCGAGGGTGACTTGGAGGAGGTCATGTGAGAAGGAGATGAAAGCATGTGGACAGACTTGGAGCGGGGTGAGAAAGTTGGCAGAAGACAGAAGGCAATGGAGACGCGCAGCTGAAGCCCTATGTTCCTCTAGGAATTAAAGGATATAATAATAATAATACCTTCACCAGAGAGAAAGTTTCTGAATCGCCTAAATTCCCTCAAAATGTCAATATTATTATATTCAGATTTGAAATACTGTAATATTTAATTACCTTTTTTAGGTGACTCGATACCAGCTGCAAAATAGTACAGTGTAAATGTGTAAATGTTAAATTCAGTGATAAAGGGAAATTAAAAAACGGAGTTTTAGAAAATATTTTATTTTCACATAATTTCATTTCTGCCCCAAATCTGACAGTCTTGAATATCTTAGGACAATTAAAATTTCAAACGTCTAAGTGTATCTATAATTCGTTTAGTCCTCCAAAAATCCCACACTGGATATTTTAAACCTTTCCTTCTTGCGCACTATGAGTGTATATTAAGCTAAAGAGTTTACTCATGTATTATTGCTCTGCAATTTTGTAGTTAAGCGTCCGACGAAATTTAGGAAGAAGTCTCAAAATGCCGTTTGCTGGTATCGACCTCCATCTTGATTACCTAATAAACTTATTTCAGAATAAATCGCAGGAATTGTTCAGTGATGCAGCAAAAGGTTTCGGTAAGTCACATTTTATAAATTAAAAAATTTTAGTTATCAGTGAAAGTTTTAATTATCTATCACAGGTTCATTCTTGTGTAACTATACTACTTATTTTGACTTCATAGTAATTAGATATTCAAAGTTGAGCACTTGAAACAATACGTTTTTAATAGTATAACTGAAAATAAAACTACTGTCTTATGATTACATGAGTGTATGCAAAAATCACTTTCAGGCTGAAATGAATACTACAATTATTTTATGAGATTATTTGCGTCCTACAAAACACACTTTTCAATGTGTTTAATTTCAATCAGATTATTGAAAAAGTTCTGCCGGCTGTGGAACGTTGTTTCATGAGACTACTAATCTGGACTATGTAACGAGTGTACTTGTGATGTCTAGACAACAGAAACATTCAGCCAGACTGCATCTATGATTGTTGAGACGTAGCAGGGTAAAAATAATTAATATGATTCTCTGTTTATCCAAACGTGTTAAAATAATTAAAAGAAACTCAACTCAGCATATGCAATAAACTGAATGGGTTACCAACTATAAGACAGCACAGTAGTTGCAGAATTGACCCGGTTTATCAGTTAGGTTTTTGACTCAAGGGTTATACACCGCTATGAAAGAATTAGTTAGAATACACATGTTGCTGATTGATATATGCAGCTGGAAACCACTGAAGCAAGCAGCAGTGCTTTCTAGGCAGGCTGAAGCCATCTGAGCACTAGATGACTGTGTTACTTGTTTGGGGTCGAATTTGTTTTGATTGCAGCCTGATTCCACACAGTACCTTTTCTTTAGTAGATGTAAGGAATTTTCAGCATGTGATATCGGTAGCCCAAATTTTGAAGGCCAACCATTGATACCGGGTGTGCGTCGACAGAAGATCGAACCCCGGACCATATTTATGGTCGGCGAGGGTATTAACCTCTGTGCCACCGACGCACCATTGATGTATCCGATCAGAATCAACTCAGAAATGGATTCAGCTCTAGCCATCTGGATTCAGCCTAGCTACTTGAGCAAATTGGTAATGAAATTCGTTTTGAGCAAACAGCACATTATCAGGTAAAAATCCACTATGATTTTCAGTGATAACCCAAAATATTCGGATGACAGTATGTGACTTGCCTTAGACCTTAAATAGTAACCAAGATGCCAAGCAAAATAGCAAGATGGTACAGACGAGTGTTTGATAGGAGAAATAGGAAGCTTGAGCATATTGATGTGTCTTATGAATGGTATAGTATTTCGTAAACAGAAAAATCATTTTCATCTTTTTACGTTACCTGATGTCTGGGTAATACAGCTTATAAATATAAATATTTTTTTATAAAACTAATCACTTAGAGGGCTCCTGTTTTGGTGTTCTGATACAGACAATGTGTTCTAACGGAATTTGATTCTCACCTATTCTCACAGTTCAATACGCCATAAGCAACAGAATACTATGCATATTTGAACACTCTATTTCATATCGTGTAATGTAAACCAAAATCACACGCCCAGTGACTGTCCAACGAATATAAACTATATATATATATATATATATATATATATATAAACAGTGGTTTGATTAATAAAAAATATACCTTGGATGGCGTTTCTTGCCTTCTGCTCTTACACTATCACATGTGAGAAAAAACGCATAAAGGCATCCTCAATGGCTTGTTTCAAGTGAGGATATTTTGGTGCAAGGATAGAACGTGACCACCTAGGTTAGAGTCTAGCTACGTCAGAGGATAATTTCACTTGATAAGAACTCACAATGATACAGTATTATTTACTGATAACTTTTCGAGCAAAATTTATTCCTCATAATCATATCAAGTTCACATTGCTCTTTTTATAAAAGGCAACATTCGTTACAGCCCTATTCAGGTAGGTAGTTACCTGGGTTCCAGTGGGAAGTCGTGACCAGTAGGGTCCAGCGGGTCGGGTGTGAGGACAAATACTCGCCGAAGACATTAGCTAGCGGTCGCGCTATGTTGTGAATTGGCAGAAGTTCGAATTCAAGGACCATTGGATCGGGTCCTAGTGGCTTAATGGTCTACCATCTAGCTCGCCTTGTAACCGGAAGGTCCTGGGTTCGAATCCCGGTGGGTGAGTAGTGCTCAAGAATTCCAAACTAGGACGAAACATCTGTCCAGTACTCCCAGGTTTTTCAATGGTCCTCTAACTAATGTCAGCTCAGGATGAAATCCTGAAATCAATCAAATACCTACAAACCAACACTTGAATGTTCATTTGCGTTACTCTTTTCAACTAACCGTGCTTTTTTATAGCTTCGTTTCTGTAAGCCCAGTTTTGCTGACGTTCTTTGGTTCAGAGGTTAATTAGAAAACTGATGTTACACAAAAAGCACTAATGGATAAAAAATGGTGCTTGTAGGATTATGTGATGCTATTAGTGAAACCCTAATATGTTAGGTGGAAGATGTTTAGACAAACGAAATACACTGTAATTTTGCTAACTCCTATTACACACTTATATCAGTGAAATCACTAGATGGCCCAGATACTAAAAGCTACTGAAACAGATTTCAGTGGACCTTTTATTTAACGTATGTGTCCTGCGTATTCGTTAAGCTAAACATGCGTAGAAATTCCATAAGACATTGAGGTTTTGTCGAAAAAAAATTGGATAATTTAAGGATATCCAGGTAATCATTAATTAAGGAGAAGATCCTATAAACTTTTGACATATTCCTAGTTGATAAGTTGAAATGGTGGTATTTTATCATATCCGATCTTATTGAGAGAACCATAGTTAAACAATACACACGATAATAACTCACTTTTGTACTTAACCAACATAATTTCCTACGCATTTGTTACAAGAATAAAAATAAAAGGTTTGAGAAAAGTGTCAAGTAGATAGATACTTCAAGACGAAGTTGATAGTACTTATCAAAAAAAGGAAGGAATATATCTTCAGCAAACTTTGTAAGAAGTGTTTTCATCAGAAAGTGTTTAACTATTGACTTTATGACTTCTTATCTGTGGAAAAAAAAGCTCTGAATACACAAAATAAGCAATCCTCGAATAAACGAAAAACTTTTTGTTATAGTGATTGATATTCACTAAATAAGCAGCAAACAAGCTGATCTATGTTTAGACTTGACTCTATAACAAATTGTATAGTGTGAATGATTAAATCAAGATAATTGTACCATTTAGGAAGCAAATTTCTTAAAGATTGTTTATGCTTACTAATCAACTAAAACGGTAACAGCAGCTATATGTTTTTCGATATATATTAAAGACTCACATCTTCATGAAACACTTTGTTCCTATAAAGTTTTCTTTTAAACACCTCTTAAAACATTTTGGTATTTATTCGAAAGGAAAACACCTCTTCATAATAAGGCACACTTTTATTCCTGTGAAATTTACATACCGGAAATTTATATACTATGGGTGAATTAACTAACCGTCACCAAAACTCGAATAAAGAATATTGACAAGAAGGAAAAATCAACTTCAACGGTTTACTCTTTCTATATATTTACAGAAAACGAGGTTATTATGAAGGGCTGTGTTGACTTTTACTTTTCTCTGAAAAAATCAATCAATACTTATTTTGAATCCCCTCACACAATCCGCAGAACATGCAATACGGACGCTATGATGTACAATTTATTCTGTAGATAATCATTAACAAAACTGACCTTCAGTTCCTTTTGTTTGATGGAAAGTTAAACTGTCTTTTAAACTAACTTTTGTGAATAATTAGTGTGAGCTGTGCCAAGAAGCTCTTCAGTGAAGCACACTGTCCAAACAAGAACGAAAGCCTGGAAAGCTACTCACCAGGATTATTATTATTATATCCTTTAATTGCCAGAGGAACATAGGGCTTCAGCTGCGCGTCTCCATTGCCTTCTGTCTTCTGCCAACTTTCTCACCCCGCTCCAAGTCTGTCCACATGCTTTCATCTCCTTCTCACATGACCTCCTCCAAGTCACCCTCGCACTGACGACCAACTCGCCGCCTCCCTTTCGGGTTCCACTCGAGCAATGGCTTGTCTAGTGATGTCACATGGTGGTTTCCTCAGTGTATGGCCAGCCAATCCATCTCCATTTCTTCCTGCCTATTTGTTTTACAATCGGTTCCTGGTTGGTTCGCTCATTGCCAGAGATCTTTGTTGCTGGTCTTTTCTGGCCGGCCATCTGATCTTGAGTATTGAGCGAAGACAGCTGTTAATGAAGGTTTGAAGTTTGTTTGAGATGCTCTCTATGACTCGCCAAGTCTCTGAACCGTAAAGTAGCAGTGACTTTACATTGCAGTTGAAAATCCGGGGCTTATTTTTGATGCTGAGTGATGAAGTATAATATAAAGATAGTCTGAAGAATTGATCCCTTGAAGACAGAGGCATTTTACCTAATTTTTATAACTGTTCAAATACAAAAATTATGAACAATACCCATGTTTTCAGATTACATAGTTTATTATTTTGCATGATATGTAAATTCATATGTTATGTTGTCATTTGGTATGAACAACTGACCTTACAGGCGATTTGCTTCACTTTTACAACAACACATTAGTGTACAGCTTTAAAGTGAAGTTATGAAAAGCATATTCGCTACTCACCCGTCTTTTTGATTTATGACACATTAAAATATTTTCTACCACCTCTAGAAAACCTGAGCTGCCCCCCGGAAAGTGGATATCTACGCAAGTATACAACTGCTTTTCAACCACTCATACATTCTCACTTGAGTTAGTTACTATGAGAAGGATCAAAATTTTAACCTTATGAAGAAAATGAATTCCTGGAGGTGTGACTAACTGACAACTAATATGAAGACGCTTTCTTTATCTGTCCTTTGCTAATCATTCAAATTATTTTAGACAGTTTAACTAAATTATAACTGTCAGAGTGCCTTCTTTGTAATACAGTGAAAGGCTTTTTTGACTACACGTTTTATACTTCAGAGGCTTTAAAAGCGTTTTAAGTGATTAGAAATGGTCTGGCTGGCATAAAAGAAGTCCTGGAAACTCATGTTCACTCTAATAACATGGTGCAATTAACGTCTTTGCTAAAAACGGAATCCTCAGTTTATTGCTTTTTAAGGAGAGAATGACAAACCAAACCATTTATTTCACCGAGTTATGTTGTAAAATAAACACTCATCCTTACTTCTAACTTAGAAGAACATACACATACTAATAAATGTGTGTCTGTTTGACTTAAGAAGACCAATTAGAACAGTTTCACAAGAAACGACCAGTCTAATAATTGTTTAATTTGCAACGACTGCATACGGGTTTCGATAAATTGTATGAACTAGATTCTAAAGCTTGACAGACAGTAGAGCCAGTTACATGTGACTATTTATTTAAACGTAAAATTCAAACCCTCATAAGATACTTCCAACCATTCAAAGAAAGTGGTTGTTTTACCTCATTTATGCTTTATCTGTTGGCCTAACGTGTTGAAGAGAATCACTTTGATTAGTCACACTTCCGAACTAGTCGGTTGAATTTGCTGAACATGAGAAAACTGAGTGATATTGATTACGATATGTTAATCCGATGTTGTTTAATAGAACTACGAACCTTACAAAGGACTCATTTTAAGTGGAAAACCATTAAGAAATACGAGGTGTCTGTCCGCACTAATTATCGTCACACTCACACAATAAGAGAAGTGAATAAACAGCTATCCCATTAGGCAAACAGATTTACGCTGAAAGTGTCAAATAATGGATTTGTGGAATAAATATTTTATTATTTTTTATTTTATTCCTTTGACTTACGAGTGGAAAATAGGGCTTCAAGCTTCAACTTTGGAGTTTCGGTGGCAGAGGTTTTTTTATTTTTACGGGGTAAATTTGCTAACATTACGCGCAACCTTCCCTCTTTACCAGGCTTACCACTAGCTTGACCGACGTCTAGGTGTGCACCAGCCGGATGTCGAACTGTGGACTAAATGAATGGTTGGCAAGCATCTTACCTCTGAAGCCACCGATTCACTCCTTAAGTACGTCGGCAGGGAGTCGGACCTCGGATGGAGTACGTGTGGATTGAATAAGTATGTATGGAAATTGAACAGAATAATTCAGTCTTGTCAGTTGATTTGTGAGATGTCTATGTTATCTTTCTTCCTTAACTTAAGGTTTTCTTCCAATCATCTACCGTTCATTAAACACCCAAATTAAGATGAAAGGGTCATCATCGTATCTCCATTAGACACCAACATAGCTTAGAAAACTGAAATCCATACCTTCAGTGCTGTTTGACACATTGTTTGCATATATTTAATCCTCTGTATTTTTATTTTAAAAAGACCATTTATATTCTATTACTCAACTTCTTGTACTTCTTTTAATTAGAATTAGGTCGTAACTGCTTCGATACCCTATGGTACAACGTAACAAACATCAGTAAAATGTGGCTGGAACTACCGGAGGCACTATTTGTTAATATTCTGGACACAAATGATTTTGACGTAAATACAACTGAAAAATTGAAAAATATTACGGTACATATAACACAGATGAAAGAATATTTGAAAAATATTGTTGAAGAAATAGTAAGTATCTGAAACATTCTAAATCCACAAAATTGTTTGTGTTTTCCTCCTCATTCCAAGAAATTTACTTACAATAAACAAAAGTTCTCCCGGTCATTTTAAAATGCACTGAAACAAAGAAGACATTGAAGATTAAAAGACTGTCTCAATTTATAATCACTGAGAGGCAAAATATATTATCGGTATAGCTAATGTTAAGCATTTACTGTAAATCAGACCGAGTATATAATGATATTCTTGACATTAGACCATTAAATACTACAAGCGCTTAAATAGTCATTATTTATTATTTATTGTTCTCTTGGGTTCCTAGTGGAACATAGGGCTTCAACTGCACATCTCCACTTGCTTCTGTCTTCTACTGTGCTTTTCACCTGCATCCATGTTAGTCCATACTCTTTCAACTCCTCTTCACACGATCTCCTCCATATCACCCTTGCACTGACGACCGACTCGCCGCTTCCCTTTCGGGTTCCACTCGAGCAATGGCCTGACGCGCGCGTGATGTCACCCAGCAGCCTCCTCAGCTAGCGAGTGTTCAATCCATCTTCACTTTCTCCTGCATATTTGTTGGGCGTTAAATAGTCATGGCAAATATTTTATTATCAGTTGAAACCTAAATGCTCCTACATCTGTTAGTGGCTGATAAACCCCACTTTGTTGTTGTCTTTAGCTTCACCTCAAGTCTTTTAGTCAAAGAATATACTGCTATAACAATTTACATAACTACCAAGTGTCAGATTCGACAAGTATCAGTAAAAAGCAAATTATCTGCACAGCCTGTAGTACACAAGCCACCCATCTTACCAAAAAGCAAATTAGCTAAATGAAAACCAAATAGCAGTCAGTTCGTATAAACAATGAGTATAAGTGACAAGTACACAATGCATGAAAAGCAAACGTAAGTATATAGCTAAAATATAAGGCAACAATGTCCATATTATTATGACAGATGTCAGAAAATGTATTAGTCAAACATGTTAGTGACCACAAAGTGAAGAACTATCAGAAACACTTCTCTAAGACACATCAAGAATGACACTAGATAAACAAAATTAAAGAATTATTAGAGAAATGTCTGCAACTTCAAAAACACTAAAAACAGCTGATTGGAAAATTCATTTTATCAAATAGATAAAAGTCTACTTCCTGCTGACTGACATTTCACAACTTCTTTTCTCTACACTTTTTGATGAAATTAACACATTTTAGTAATTTCATTCTCTGTCATACCTGCAGCAGAGTCATGCAAGTTTTCACTAGTCAATTAGAATAAATAAATCAGCGTGTCCAAGTAAATCATTTACAATGATTTCGTTTGACGCGACTCTCAAATTATTCCAGGAAATTAGTAAAATCCACGGTCTGGAAACTTATAAATAAGTATATCATTCAATAAAAATTTCAGTATTTTCTAGAAAAATAAAAACATTTTCTTATAGGATAAACTGTTCGGGTGTAATGATATGAACAACAGCATAAAAAAATTATGTGACCACAACAGAAGCAACAAATCACTGTGTATGGATGATTTCACCTATGAACAACTGCATCAGTTCATTCACCGGATCAGAAATGAACAAACTGAAGAATCATCTGCATCATTATTACTCGAACAGAATTCCAAGAATTTTACAAAATCCATGGATAAAAACTGGCATTATTTTAAAGTCTATATTCCCCAATCAGCGCAGATATTTATCCGATACTTACCACAACTATGGTCCCATTATATACAGGTAGCGAAAATACATTTCTTCGGTTAAATTTGCCAGTAATATATTTAATTTTTAGTACATTTACTAAATCAATTGTTTTTTGAAGTTTGTAATGAAAGAATATGTTTCGTGGCATTTGAAATTACAGTCTCAACAAAGCTTATTAAACTTCCTACTCATATTTCTATGAGAATCAGCTAATGATTAACTTAATGATATTAGATTGTTGGAGGTAATCAGATGGAAGCCTTGGACCTGGGTTTCGTGACGCGGGTTCGAATCTCAGAAGGGACATGAGTGGCTTCAATGTTGCAAATACGCCTTGCTGATGAGTGCTGAGTGTGCGTCGGTGGCACAGTGGTTAGGACTCTCGCCGGCCATGTACATGGCCCGGGGTTCGATTCCCGGCCACCGACGCACTCCTTTACCTCACTAAGTGAGTAATAGAACTGGCAAAGAGGGAAGGTTGGGCATGAGGCCAAAAACCCCATCCTGTATAAACAAACGCTGCTACAGAAACTTCGAGCGTCTAGCTTGGAGCCCTATGTTCCACTGGGAACGTGAAGGAATAAAAAAAGTAAGACTAGACACATCACACTAGTTACTAGTGTCCAATCAAAACAATGATTAACTTTTCTTGAACACTCTGTGGATGAAAAACTCTAATTTCCTCTTTCGACAAGTTAATCTGATATAAAATGTAGTCATAAACTATTAATAACTGGTTGACTCATAAAATGAATGGGATGAATTACCTACACTAGACTGTAAAATTAGACGAAAACGAGACGAGGGGTCCAACTTCGAGGTACTATCATAAAAAACCGTTTATATTCAGACGAGTGGTTGAACTTTTGCTCATTCCACCCAAAATCGGTGAACGTGGGTCTGGTTAAATGTTCACGTTCTCAAGCCAGAAATACGATTCGTTAGTCGGAAAATTTAAAAAGGACAATCAAACCCATTATATTTCACTCAGAAGTTTATAAAGACCTATATGAAAAATAAAAGCATTAATTTAAATAATAATAATGAAGAACTTAAATCTTCCATATTGCTACCACATATGGAAGAGACCTCTGAAACTTCACATAGAAATCTTAACAAGGCTAAAATAAGGGGCCATTTAAATCTGTAAACTTTGTTGCCCTTAAGGACTGCGGTGAACCATTTAGACGATAATTTAATTATCAAGTTTTGTTTTACAGGGATTTCATTGGTTACAGGATTTCATAAATGAGTTGACATCAGTTAGACAACAGCTGGAAAACCCGCGATTACTGGACAGATGTTTCGCCCCAGTTTGAGACTCTCCATCAGTACTCACAAAGCGACCTCGTGGATAACTTGGATCCGATCCAAGGGCCCGTGAATTCCTGATGTGACCGCCGGCCAGTGTCGTAAATGAGAAATTGTTCTTTTACCAGACTTGATGGACCCCGTTAGTTATGACCTCTCTCTAGAACTTAATTTACTAAATATCATATAATGCCTAAGCGCACAAATACTTAGGTGATACAAGTAGCTTTTCAGTCATTTAGGCCAAAAGAATGTAGACATTTAAATAGATCTAAAATGATAGGACTCGCTAAGATGGGTAATAGGGTAAGGAATCAACCAAAGCTATACATTCACTTTCATAAATTCATACAGTAAGACAGGAGAGGGGAAAGCCTTAAAATATACAATAGTATAATGAGGAAGGAAAAGTTTTTCAACTGAATCCCCGTTCATCGAATCAACACATATGTAATATGTATAATACAGCACTAATCCATGCATCAAAAAACAGGATGAAGTAGAGTTACATAAAGTAAACTACGAAGTCGTGTAATTAACGTCATATAAGTGTCAACATCACGGTGGCAAATCAAATGGAATTGCCTAATATGAGAATATATTCTAGCACATCCCCACTCTCAACTTTTGAAGCTTGAAAACACTTGAATTTTATTTATAAGTCGGCTTCTCAATTTTCTACACACTTAAAAACTCCTTGTACTAGAATGTTAGTTGTATAACTTCCACTTTAATCATTAACGATTTCCGTCCAAGTAGTGAAATAGAATTTCGGTAATACCGTGGCCCAGGCTTTCAACTCATATTTACCAAAACATAATGAGTAATAGTTTTTGCAGCCTCAAAGGATATTGCTTTTTGATTTCACATAATGATGTATGAGTCTACATTTATGTCAGTATTTTGGTGAAATGGTCTATTTTCAGGAGAGTTTTTATTATGAATAATACCTGAAGTGAGGTTAGTATGGAACTGGGAAGGTATACGCTGTACTTAAATTATTTAATGTGCGTCGGTGGCATAGCAGTGGAATGCTCACCAACCACGCCTGTGGTTCAGGGTTCGACCCCCGGCCAACTCACTTCTTTACCCCGCTAAGCCAGTAATAAGACTGGTAAAGAGGGAAGGTTGGGCGTGAGGTTAGCAGCCTGATCCCGTAAAAATAATCGCTGCTACTGAAGCTTCATAGCTCTAGCTTGTAGTACTACGTTCCACTGGGAACGTAAAGGAATGAAAAGAAAAAAATCTATTTAATAAGTGATGTGATGTAATTTGTACTCTCCGTCAACTAATTACAAATCTCGAGGTAATTACCAGAGTTGTTAGCGAAATTCAAGTGCAGATAAGGTCTCCGGAATATTGGCTTTTTCTGTGCAGATCTGTTGACCTGTTTACTGAATGCTAATGTGCTCACATGATTTATGTTGGCGGGCAGTTATACTAAAAAGACGTGGAATAAATAACATAACAAACACTTGTGCTTTTTTTTAGCTTAAATTACCACTTTCAGCTAATTGGGTATTACTGTATGAGTAAATTTCCATTTTCCGTGTCTGCTGACATGTTTGCCAGCTCGTAGCAAGGACCCTTCGACTATGTCTCAAGATTAGCATAATGTTTTTTTGGTTAACGGTGACTGGCAGTAGCATCCAGGATCCGCATCCCCGGGGATGCAGGTACATCCACCTGACGAGTCCCGAATGTTCACCTTGGACTCTAATGCCATCAGCTGAAATAATAGGTGTTGGTCTAATTTAATATAAATTTACTTCGCCTCTGGTTATTTAACTATAGCTATGCCTTAAGTGAAAGACCAAGTAAACTGACGCACCTAAACGGCCCAAATACAAAAGAGAAATATTTTGACATTTGTTATATGCATAATCCACTAACTTTCGAAGTTAGAAGGATAGACAGAGAAAACATTTGCAACATTTTTATTAAAAAACTTACAAAATTAGCGCCGAAAAAGAACCTCTCATTAGATGACTGATCTCTGAGTTTACCAGATGATGAATGAAGTGAAGACCAATTCGCAGGTCGGTTTCACAGAATATCCATTTGGATAATCCAAAGATATCTGATTCACATATTTCTAATTTCTGTCATAATTACTATATTCTGTGTTCATATCTTATTTTTTAAGATAGTAACTGTCCGCTAATTCTCGTGTATACCGAATTTTTCTAGTTTTGATGCGTGTGATATCTAATTTCTTCAATACAGACGAGCTTTAAAGCAAATATGCAGAAATCTACAGTGGCTGATTACCGGAAAGTAACAAGTCTCGTGTTTAATATTAAGAGTTAACTTTATTATTTATTATTATTATTCCCTAGGGTTCCGAGTGGAACATAGGACTTCAGCAACACTTCTCCACTTTCTCCTATTATCTGCTGTCCTCTTCATCTGGGTCCATGATTGCCCACGATCTCTCGTCTCCTCCATGTTAACTCGTCGCTTCCCATCGGGATCGCACTCGAGTGATGGCCTCACCAGCGATGTCATTCGATCGCCTCCTCAACATATGCCCGATCCATCTCCATTTTCTCCTACATATTTGTTGAGCGATCGGCTATTGGGTGGTTTTTTCGTCAGAGTTTCTTGATTCTAATTCTTTCTGGCCAACCATTTGATCTTCAGTATGGAGTCAGAGAAGACAGCTGTTGATGAAAGTCTGCAACCTGTTGGAAATCCTTTTCGTGTCACGCTGGTTAAGTTTCTGACCCGTATAGAAGCACTGACTGATTTCACATTTATGTTGTAAATCGGAATCGTGTTCTTTATGCCAACTGGTGTCAGGTTGATGAAGGCATGTCTTGCCTTTCCGAATCCGACTTTGATATCTTCAACCGTCCCGCCTCTAGTTGAAATGATGTTTCCCAGATAAGTGAAGAAGGTAATCTCTATTGAACCTCTCCCTTTAATGATGATTGGTGCTGGTTGTTGTTTTTGCTGTTAGTTGGGTTTTTTTCATAACCTCCGCCTTCTCTATATTCACCTGTTGTCTTGTCTTCGCTACAAGCCTCTTCCACCAGTTTGTCGATTTTCGCCTGCAAGTCTTCGAGTTTGTATGACATTAAAAATATATCATCCGCGAAATCCAGATCTCCTAGAATCTTCGCATCGGTGGTCCAGTGTACTCTTGTCTCCTCACTCCCCACAGTCTTATTCATAAGCCAGTCCACCACAATTAAGAATGTCATCGGTGATAATAGAAAGTCAGTTTGTCCTTTTCCTGTATGCACTTAGAAAATCTCTCTGAGTTTTCCGTTGTAGATCACATGAGATGTCTCATTGTCATATAGCCAGCTGTTGATCGAGGTTGATAGAGATTTGGGGGACGCCGTAGTGTTGAATAAGTTCCCAAATCACTTTGCAGTCAACGCTGTCTGATGAAGGCCTTTTCGAAGTCGATTAAGTTGAAGCAGAGGTTTGACTCCCATTCTATGCTTTGTTCTGTGATGACGATCTGTAGAGTTGCAATTCGATCAGCAGATGATTTCCGTTTCCTGAATCCAGCTTGTTCCGACCTGGAGGAGTTCTGTATCTTGTGCATCCTTTATCCTCTCCAGGATGATGCGTGGACAACAGCACTATTCCACGATAGTTCTTGCAGATTGAGGTGTAATTCGCCCTTCTTTGGTAGCCTGACAAGATAGGCAGTCTTTCTTCCGATTGGTAGGCACCTTTCCTTCCTTCCAAACGTTTTGTAATAATGGCGTGAGAACATCTGCCACAATCTCTGGGTCTGTTTTCAGTACTTAACAGGAAATTCCATCTGGTCCTGCTGCCTTCCCAGCCTTAAGTAGCTTGACCGCATTTAGGATTTCTGCTTTCACTGGAGGACTGGCATCTACTGGCAGTTCTGTGCTTGCTGTTGATGGTATTTCTGGACGAGTGGCAGGTGTTGGTCGATTCAAGAGTCCTTTGAAGTGATCAGCCCATTTTTTAATTTGCTTCTCCTCCTTGCTAATCAGGTTCTCTTGAAAAATTTCATTGGTTTTATTACCTGTGTTCATCTCTTCCCGACTACCAAGTGACCTGGTTATCTGATATAATGCCAGGAAGTTTCTTTTACCTGTGGCCTGTTATGCATCAGTTGCCAGTGTGTCGTAGAATTGTCTTTTTTCTTTCCTAGCAATCTCCTTCACTTCTTTATTCAGTACAGTGTACAGTGAACTCAGCTTCTCCTTCTATTGTCCGTTTTCGAATTGATTCATCTTCACTTTCACCATCCTTCTCTCCTGTCTTCTGTTAGCTTCCAGGTAGGTGTCCATTGAGAACCACTCCTTTTCTTGTCTCCTCTTTCATCCTGCAACAGTTGTTCACGTTTCCTTGAACAACACCTTCGTAGAGTTCCGATATTGTTCCACACAGGTTTCATCAGTGATGCTTCTTAGTGTTTCCGACTTTGCTTTGGTGTACGAAGTGAAGGTATTCCTTGCAGTTTTGTCGTTCAGTTTCTGAATGTTGAACTTGAATTGTGGTCTATCTCCAGTTGTTTTCAGGGATCTCAGCTTCACCTTGAAGGTTCCTTGAAAAAGATGATGGTCTGAGTGATCTCACATCTCCTCCTCTTCTCGACTTTGTGTTCAGAAGATTATCTGCGTCTCCTCTTCCTTAAGAGGCATTGAGACGAAGTCTACCAGGTTTGTGATATGTCCGTGAGGCGAAATGCATGTTGCCTTGTGGATAGATATCCTTGCGTTTGTACACGCCCCCTCCTATCACTAGATCATTGGAAGAGCAGATGTCTTAAAATAATTCTCCGTTCTCATTCATTTCTCCGCGCCAGAGCCTCTCGATCCATGATGAGTTTTCTTCCTGTATTATCCCAGTTTGGCTTGCATTAATATCATCCATGAGGATTTGGATGTCACCATTTGGGATGTCATCCATTACTGTTTGTAGCTGTCTAGAAAAATCGTCCATCTTCGCTTGCTTCGCGTTGTTTGTAGCACTGTGCATAGCAGTGGACAACTGTAACTCTCCTTCCTTACTTTTGAGTTTAGTCTTGCTGTCATGATCCTGGATAGGGAAATTAGTTCCCATTGCACTTTAACCTTGGCCGCCAGTTCTGATATCAAGATAGCCACTCACTGCCTCACTGTGCTGGTGGTTGTCATCTGAGTGACAGGAGTAGATTACTGACTCTTCAGTTGACAATTTGGATAATCTACATCCATTCCATCTCCTCTCGAAGATACCCAGCACTTCTAAGCCATATCTTCGCATTTTGTTGGTTACCTGGGTAGCCTTCCCAGTCTCATACATTGTACATACATTCCACGTCCCATTCTTATTCTTTTTTTCATCGCGAGAGAGAGAGAGCGAAGACACATCGGCTGGCTGACTGGCTTCCTGGAAGCTTTCACCAGCCCGCTGTCATTTTGCCTCTCCGATTCGAGCGAATAAGAAGATTGTTATATAATGTTTTTGTATATTTTTTGTGCGTTGAAGTGTCTGTAGCCGTTCGATAGCTTTTATAGTGTAGGGTTGCTGGCACCACTCCCAACTATCCGTCTTTACCCGGGCTTGGGAGCGACTAGAAAACCAGCAAGCCAGTTAACTAGGTAAGGTTTTAAGAGTTAACTGAATTCCATTTATCAAGTTCTCCTTGAGGTTTTGTCCTACAGAAGACCAGTAGCAATACGAATAGTTCGGTGTTAATGTACTTTATTGAGTAAAACAGGTCTATTATTCTGTGGGAACATCAGTTTTTCGTAGCGTGTAAATGTCTAGATGGTAAAAATGAGCCCCATGCTATTAATAGGCTTAGTTTGGCATGCAAATGTCGAAACTGACTGACAGACTCAAGTCATTTATGCGGACAAAACGAAATGATCTTTTTTCTCCAGCAAAGACTGCTTAGTCCAGTTCCATAGATCACTGACTAAAAATCAGCTCCGACTGCAGTATCTCGAACCTGCAGAAACGCCATATTGGTGAGTGCGCGAAAATGGACAGAGAGTTCGACAGCTGTTATCGGCTACATAAATTCAGCTGAGAAGCTCTCATAAAATCAAATCCTGGATACTTTTAACTAGACTAGTCTAAATATTAAAAATTCTCTTATAGAGCTCGACATATAGATGACGACGAGCAGTGAGGATATACCGTGCAATGTAAGAAATAGATCCGGATAACTTTATCCAACTTTCTCCTGATTACACGATTCTCTTGGTAATTTTTGATTCCCTCATTAAATGTAGTTCACATTATTCCATTTACATTTAAGTGTCACTCAATCCAGATGATAAAACATTTTACTGTTTTGTTGTTTGTACCATTTATAACTTAAGCATTTTGAGGAACAGTCAAGAATGAAGCCGCTGGCAAGTTATGTGACAACGAAAACCAATAACTCTGGATAAATGGAATTTTACCAATGCGTTGTAATTTGTATCTCGGTGATTGCTAACAAGGTCATAGCCTTCCTTTATTATTATGCATAACCTAACCATAAATGTTTTAAAATCTATTACAAGCTTGAAAAATTACATACTTAGTTATTTTCAGTAATTGTTTTTACTTTAACACGCCTGAAAACTGTCTCAGCAAATGTGAAAGCAGTGATTAATTGCTTTAAATTAGTCTTAATTTTAAAAGCTAAAACGAAAGATGAACATAAAATATAGATTAGGCGAGTAATGTCAAAGACATAAATAACATTTGGAAGCATTATGCGCTGAAATGACTCTTGTGCATTAACAAAGTCATTTGTTATGACGAAACTTGTAGGGTTTTATGTCCTCATTTGTGAATCTGAACCACTAGTAAAATATGGCCAAGACGCAGCCAATGAAACAACCACTAAATTGTGTACTAGGTGAAATCTTACTGGCTTTTCTAAAACAAACACGTTTGAATTCATAAATAAAATGGATGCACATAATGGTAGGTATGTGAATGGCACGTTTTTTTTACAGTAATATGCACTATGCATGTTAGATGTTTAAAGTGCTGAAAAATATTCACATTAATAAAACCAAAGTACAATGGCTTATGAATACAACCACTAACTTTCCGGGTCATGGTTTAAAAAGAATAAACCACTGTTCACCTAGGCTTACTAATCATAGGTAGGAATCTTGCAATAGTCATTATGTGAGTCACCATAGTTTCAGCTCCATCACTTGCAAGCACAGTTTGATCAAATGGCTTTGTGATAGAGTAGAAGAGTTATGGTAACGAAACTCAGGGGTAAACAAATTAACGCCTATCAAAAAGAATGCTCAAAAGAATAGATAACCGCAAAAAGTTCAGAACGACTGGAGACAGTGAAGTTCAAGAAGGGGGCTCTCACCTAAAAAATGGAGAGAATTAAATTAATGCTTAGAAAGACATACCCAAGAGGGAGAAGGAACTTAAAATACAATAAAACACACATAACAGGTCATGTGATTTCCCTTAAGAATTTACTACATTTGGAAGGCTTTGAAGATTCTTATCGGTGACAACGTAATTTTGTGTCTTATTCAGAATTAAGTCAAATTGTGATGTGTATTATATCAAGAATTTACCATTGATATGCTCAAAGGTATTACGGTTTCATCTCTCTAGATATCCAATGAAGACATTTAGATAAACTTCTAGTTATGGCAGTTATTTTTTGATGCATATTCACGAAGAAAATCCTGCTTCATTCATTTGGATCCAGGCACAATACTAGGAGGTTTAGTTTTTTTGTATCTTTTAAAGGAAGCTTTTAAGGGTTCTGAAATTCTGACTTAAAAAAATTCCCATTTTTTAGGGAAATTTTTGCCTGTGTTTTTTATCAAAACAGAAGAAGTTTGGTGGAAGACAGGAGAAAATTGGCAATAAAAATTGTTAACGTAATTATACCCTCATAAATACAACGCTATATCCTCTTAACAGCTAATCAACATTAAGACAACGGACGTAGAAATTTCTTGAATCAATTGGCTACCTGTAGCGTAAGCTATTAGCACTACACACCTTTTCGGTAAATCGATTTATGACAGTAACACATTTGGGAAAGCACTTCAGCCCAATCTGTAGACTACTTTCAAGTGATGATAACTTCATTGATTAACATACGATCTGTGTTCACACTGAAATGCTAGAATCAGAAAGTAAAATTTTGAGGAACTTCAAATCATTGAGTAAATTGAGGACGTCAAATGACCAAGAAAGCGTCTTAAATAGTTTGATCTACCTAAGTGTTATTTAATTAAGACTTGCATAAGCACACAAAATGCGTAAATAATACTTAGCTCAAAATTCACTAGATTCTGGACTCCGAAAAATGGCTGAATTGTGAAATTTTCCTTTGAAGGTGACCTGTGTATAAGTGATTTATATTTTAAAATTACTAATGTAATCAAAATTATGTCACTTCATATATCCGAATAGATGTGGTTCAGGTGAAATAACTGCTGCCGTGATGAAAACTGTTGGTGGCGATGCAAAACTACGTTTGCTTACATCTTAGTCATGGACAGTGATGTATATGGTGTGCCCCAAAAAGGATAGGCAAAAATGCGTTTCGTATGGTATTATGCGAAGTACGTCAATTTACAAATAATTCACTAATTTATACTGTTTACAAAAGAATGTCAGAGATTCCCACTTATCATTTAGGTTTTGTGGTAAAACCAGAGCTGTCTATGTATACAACATATCGATGGAGTAGTAATATTTTTTAGAAGGGGAGTATTGTTTCGTTATTCAGGTGTTTAGCTTTTTAAAGTGAGTAGATAGATTTTGCAATTCTTCTGAAGACTACCAGATACCGTGGTCATCTAGTGATTCCAAAGATTTTACAAGTTTACATTTATGTGAACAAGTCTTTGTCACACACTAGTACTGCAACTTCCATAGTCTTGGAAATAATATATCATCTTCGTACAAGCGAGTAATCATAATGCCGTATAAAACTCAGACAATAAATAGCAGAAAGTTTTGTGTCGAGTTTATCAATCTGAGGGTAGAGACTTCAGTAACATAAAAGGTCTGTTTTGTGATAGATGGTCATCAGCTTGTTTTACATCAGGTTTGGGAAATATCTATACACCCTTCATATCATGAGTAAAATCATCATTCTAAAATATCGAATACAGTTTTACTAATACTCTCTTATTCGCGGTTCATTAGTTTCTACATAACCTGCTTCGAGTTCTCTATCGGCACTAGATGGAGCGGGGTTGATGATAGGTTGGTTGGAGAATGGAGCACCTCCTTTGCTAACAGTTAACTCTGTAGAGCTCGTAATGTCCCACATTTAAGTCTTACAGAGAGTTTACACGAACAATAATTAAGGAAAAACGGATTGAAATGAATTCTTTGTGTTAACCGGAATCTGGGGTTAAAACTGTAGTAGTATGCCATTTGATAGGTCACTCGGTTATTTGCCTGAGGGGTACGAATGATTTCTCACACTAATTGGGCCGTAGACTACGCTTTTCTCCAAATAATTGCTGACTAGACATCAAGTTCCTCCATCTGTGAGTGACAGAATAGGCAATAGTGTGACCTTTGTGTTTTATTTACAGTCAGCATGTTGGCGTCTAAAAATTGTAGATTACTATTATTATGGCTAGATGTTCATATCATGGAAACTACTACTTGTGCTTCTGGATCGACTTTCATTTTGAAAACATGGAGAACCAAATCTCAAATCCTAGGACGTTTCCTTCCATCCACAATCTAATACAGAATGAGAATAAAGACAGCGATAATGACAAATATGCCGTTCTCTATTGGTTGGATGAAAAGAAGTTAAAACCGATAGAAAGTGATTTTCTTGACAACTATTACAAGTGACCGTTTGTTTTCAAAGAAGCGATGGATTCAGAAACATTCTTTTATTTTAATAACTACGCCTAAAATTTCATGAATTGAGAGTTCATCAGAGTATGTTTGACCTTCTTGTTCACTTAAAGTATCTTAACCCTATTTTAACGTTCTAGGTGGTTCCGCTGTACTTAGCCTGAAAGCTTGACAAACCAGAATATGATAACTAATGAATTCTTTAAAAAAGTGAAGAACTTTTAGTTCTTCGGAACACAAAAGCAAGTTCACAGTTCGTTCTTTCTTCGACTGCTTCCTCTCCATAGAAACACTGTCCTTTGTATGTATTTCTGCTGATGGAGCTACATTTATGAGATCTCCTCCTTTGTTACCCAGATAAAGTTCATAGAAGAATTTCCTCTTGAGTGTCCGTAATTACACACATCATTCCATAAACGCTGAAAATATCTGATCCGATCTAGTGATAAAAAACATATTCGAAATCTTGTTAGGATATGAAGCGAATGAAGCACTATTATTATTATTGTGCGGCGGTAGCACAGCGATCAGGATTCTCGCCGACCATGCACATGGTCCGGGATTCGATCCCCTACCGACGCACAACCGACATCAATGGTCGGCATGCACAATTTAGGCTGGCGATACCACATGGCGAAAATTCCATACTTGTATCGGGAAGACAGTATGGAATCAACAAAAAGCCAGAAAAGAAATTCATATTCCCTTGGGTTCCTATTGCAACATAGGGCTACAACTGCACGTCTCCACTTGCTTCTGTCTTCTACTGTGCTTTTCACCTGCATCCATGTTAGTCCATACTCTTTCAACTCCTCTTCACACGATCTCCTCCATGTCACCCTTGAACTAACGTCCCACTCACCGCCGCTTCCCTTTCGGCCTGGTTCCACTCGAGCAATGACCTGACGCACGCGTGATGTCACCCAGCGGCGGCCTCCTCAGCGAGTGTCCAATCCATCTCCACTTTCTCCTGCACATTTGTTCAGCGAATGGTTCTTGTTTTGTTTGTTCCCATAGTTTCTTGTTGGTGATTCTTTCCAACCCGGCCCGGCCATCTGATCTTCAGTATAGAGCCAGCGAAGACAGTTGTTGATAAAGGTCTGGTCTGGAACAGGCTGTTGGAGATGTTCTTTGTGACCCGCCCGCCAAGTTTCTGATCCGTATAGAAGAACTGACTGACTTGACACTGTTTGTATTGAAAATCTGACCGAATTTTGTTGTTGATGCTGGCTGAGTGACGAAGATTTCCAGATTGGTTTCAGGTTGATGATGTTGATGTGTTTCTCGCCTTCCCGATTCTCGCTCGATTTGACATCCTCGTACGTTCCGACTGCCTGTAGTTGAGACAATGCTCCCTAGATAAAAGAGTAATGCAGTAACCTCTTTCAAATCCCTTCCGTTGATGGTGATTGGTTCTGGATGTTGCTGTTGTTGTTGGTTGGTTGGTTATTTTCATAACCGCCGTCTTGTATATGTTCACTTGGAGTCCTGTCTTCGCCGGCTGCTTCTCCGACTAGTTTTTCGGTTTTCGCTTGCAAGTCTTCGATTTTGTGACAGTGACATCAAACATAAATCATCCACGCGCGAAATCCAGGTCTTCTGGGTTCTTCACGTCGGTCCAGGATATCTCTGTCTGCTCGTTTACGACTGTCGGACGCATATTCCAGTCCACCACAATTAGGAATATCATTGGTGATAGTAAGCCAGCACCCTTGTCTGACTCC